ATCCAAATTTTTTTTGTAACCCAGACGTGGAAATGTTCCAAACCAAGCCACATCAATGACCAATTATAAATAACCGGCACTGTTTGCACCCAAATAAAATAAAAAAATAACAATAACTGACATTGTTTCTCCCCAAACAAATCTGGTAGAATCGTAAAAAAATAAAATAAATACAAGGAAATACAACATGGGAATGGTAATTTTGTGTGTCACTGCATGGGAAGCGAAAATAGTTTTTTTTTTTTAATAATGTAATCAACATTTGAAGTGTGTGGCCGACAAGATACTGTACAACATGCAGAACATGTGAAATGGAGGAAGTGGGGCACAGATAGCTTTAGTTCACTTTATTAGTATAAAACTAGTTTTATTAGTTCACTTTATTAGTATAAAACTAGTTAAATTGGATTCTAGTTTATAAAAAATTTAACGTACAGGCTGAGGTGATAACATCGAGAGGCGGACGTGCGTGCGTGACTAAAAGGTAGCAACGGTTCAAATTAAGTGCTTGTTATGATACACACAAAAAAATAAAATAAAATAAAAAACAATCCTTAACTAATGACTTTTTTTTATCCTCAAATTTAATTCAATCGCACTGACTATCATCAATAGTATTAACTAGTACAACGTCCGTGAACTACATGGATACTTAATTAAAAATTAAATTTCCGACAAAAAATGAAAATTCTTTGTGTGAAATAAAAAGACTATAAATAAATAATAAGAAATTAATTTTTAAATATCATTTCAAATTCTAAAAATAATTTTATGAAGTATTATTTGTTTGGGAACAACGGGCCTTGAAATATTTGCATTGACCTCGAAAGAAGGAGCGAGGCCCTCGCCGCGAGGGGCAGTTCAAAAAGTCGATCAAATCAATTCGAGAACGCGCGGACGAACTAATGCACCCCTTAGGTATCTCGATGGAAATCCCCCAAAATGGCATTTTCCATGGAAACAATATTCTGATCGAAAAGTGGTGCTAATATCCGATAGTTCTACGGATTTTTCCCTGTCCACGCCCCTTCTCTGTCAGATTCTTACAAGGTAGCTGCATTAGAGAGGGAAAATCAGTCCAATAGGGGTCACTTTCCTTCATGTCTAACTTAACTGTAGCCCCCTCTCTCTTTGTTGAAACCCAATTCATATCTCTCGCCGAAACCCTACATGCAATTCGCCTCCGATAGCCTTCCTCGGCGACGGCAGGGCTTGGCCTGCGGTCGCCTCTGACCGCTCATCCCGCCTCAGTCGTCGTACGACTCAAATTTATGCGGTTCTTCTGTGTCGCTACCCTCCACTTGACGGCGATTTGGAGTCTCGAGTGACCGCCTCTTTAGTCGGAGTCCTGTCGGCGATGGGTGGTGTTTTCCCGGCCACCGGCGGACCTTTGATTGGTGTAGGTAAGCTATTCTCTCCCTCTATTTTACCGGCTTTGGAGTCCATGTTGAAGGTGGTCGTTTTCCGG